TTCAATGACAATGACTCCTTGTAACAGGACACCATTGGAAACATTGGTTATTTTACCAAGGCTTTGACTGGAATATCATATTTGAGAGAGACATGCAGAGACTCAGATATGACCAAACAGCTTTAAGGAACTAAGGTTGACTTTATGAAACCTGGAGCCATAAAGCCTGTTCGAAATGTTGGCCTGATACTTTGCTTGCAGAGTTCCCAGCAGCCTTACCAGGTGAGTAAAAAATGTCACTTCCTGGCAAGTGCAGGAACCTCGGGATATATTGGGGACTGCATGAGTTGGAATTTGCCCAAATCTACAGGTATTGCAGGCATGTCTGATGGCAAACACTTGGCTTGGCTTCTGGCCTGGAGAAGCTACTAAAAGTTCAACCTAGAGATTCCTTATAAAAGTTCCAGTAAAGCAGATTCTAAAAGATCTAAATGATCAGTCATTCTTGCTGAGCTTATATGAATAATTAGACCAAGTTTGTTAAAATTGGACTTGTTTTGCAAAGAAATTAGTCTTGATTTGGTTATCTCTGGAAATGATGGCTATTTTAGAGAGAGGAATTATGTTTCAATAACACATCTTTGCGGATGTTAAATCCTAGTTTTGGTTATCCTTAAATGTTTGCCTAAGCTAGACAACTTGAGGTAAACTTCAGAGAAATTGCCACAATAGCTCATGTATAGACAATCTTCTTGCTTGTTATTCTGTGGTGATAATAACAGGACCCCGTGGGCATGTGATTAATTAGGATTAATTCTCCAACAACTGTAACTCAACTATCACCTTGACCAGTTCTGTGTGGCTGGTATCACAAAATCACTCCTTAAAAGCCACTGAATGTACCCCACTCTCTGGGGTTAACTATGGACTTGTGGGCATAATGGATGGCCCCACTTTCTTTATGATTGGATTGGGTAATGTACTTGGGGATGCCCTTATCTCTTGACCAGTCTCTCAATTGCCACTGATTCCTTAAAACTAGGATACTGTTAAGGCTGGACCTCAAACAAAGAGGGCTTCTTGATGGTTTTATTCCTTAGTCATATTTGTCCCAGGAACTACCTCTATTAATGTAAAATTACAAGAGGAGGGTTTAGCCAAGCGTACAGTGACCACCTTTAAGTATGACATGGCAGTCAATTATATGACTGGCTCCTACTGGACCCAAAGGCTCTGTGGCTCTAACTTGTGGCCATGGCTTCCCCCAGGCTGGATAGGCCGCTGTACTCTGGGTTTTGCCTGGGTGCATGGATACATTATTGAAACCATTACCAACCTTTCCAGCCTTCCAAATTTAAAACAATGTTGAACATGTTCTGTGTCTCATTGGTACGACCACCTAGCATCCATCTTTGTTTCTTCTTTGAGACTGGAGAATATTCTTTGGCACATGGAAGCTCTTAATAAGTACATGGTCGAAGCCCTAAATGACACTCAAAATAACATTTCTCTATTAAATACTAAAGGAATATAAATGTGTGAAGAAGCTTTACAAAATAGAATGGCATTAGATGTTTTAACTGCTATACAAGATGAAACTTGTGTTGGCATAAAAACAGAATTCTGTGTATACATTCCAGATTACCACAGAATACTTCTGGGTTTCTACCCGACATGAATACTCAAATTGGCACTTTCAATGATCTCTTTCCTTAAGTGATTGCTTTAAACTCCTAGACTAGGGCGCCTGGGTGGCTCAGTTGGTTAAGCGACTGCCTTCGGCTCAGGTCATGATCCTGGAGTCCCGGGATCGAGTCCCACATCAGGTTCCCTGCTCAGTGAGGAGCCTGCTTCTCCCTTTGGCCCTCCCCCCTCTCATGTGCTCTCTCTCTCTCTCTCATTCTCACTCTCTCAAAATAAATAAATAAATCTTTAAAAAAAATAAAAAAAATAAACTCCTAGACTAGAGGAAAATTATCAAAGGTCAACTATCAAAGTTCTTTTATTCAGGCTTCTCTTTCTCATCATAATATTAACCTTCTTTTGTTGTCATTTCCGGTGTCTCCCTGCCTGGTGCCAAGACTCCTTCGCTAATAACTTGCAGCTGACAGCTGATCTTTTCTCCTCAAGGAAGTCCATATATGCTGTCTGCGTTGGATTTAGCTGCCTCCCCCTTTCATACCTCCCCTGTATGTTCTCCAGCTGACCAATATTGACCCATAGGTAGGGACATCTCTACGCCCCTATTCAGCAGGAAGACGTTACAGAAAATGAGACCTTCCCTTCAACAACCTTAAAGATTTAAGGATCAAAATTGTTCAGGGAGGGAAATGATGAGGGATCAGAAGGCTAGCTGAAGACAAAGCATAAGCTGACACCCTGCAAACCGTCCCCCCCTCCCGGGATGGGATCTGTGTGATACACCCTGCAAACGGCACCCCACCCCCAACCCTGGGGTAGGATATGTGTGATACTCTTCCAGGAAGCTACTTAATAAAACCTTAGTCATGAGCCCCTTGTCTTGGTGTATATCAGTGGGGATGTATAGCTGTGTGATGAGGGAGCAGAAGGCAAGCTGAGGACAAAGCACAAGCTGACCTCCTGCAACCTCCCCTCGCTACACCAGGGTGGGATATGTGTGACAATACTCCAGGAAATTTCCAAGTTGAAAGTTTCTTAATTTTTAACCCATTAGAACTTTTTTTTTTTAAGATTTTATTTATTTATTTGGCAGAGAGAGAGCAGGAGAGCGGCAGAGAGGGAGAAACAGGCCCCGTATTGAGCAGGGAGCCCGATGCAGGGGCTGGATCCCAGGACCCTGGGATCATGACTTGAGCCCAAGGCAGTCGCTCAACCAGCTGAGCCACCCAGGCGCCCAGGAAGTTTCTTAATGTTAATGCCTTGCTAGAGGAGAAAACAACCTTAACTTGACAACAGAAAGGCATCCAGTACCTCGTAGGTCCTCTTTAACATATGAAAGTTCTTTTGAAAACCTCCTTTTCCCTTACCTCCCCCAACTCCCAAGTATATAATCAGTCACCTCTCAGCAGCTCCTTCTGCCCACTGGTCCCTTCCCCGTTCTTTAGTAAAACCACCCTTATGCACCAAAGATGTCTCAAGAATTTTCTTG